TTTACCCCCAGAAAATGATATAGAAACCGGACCAGAAATAACAACAGATGAAATAGAATATGCGCTGGACATGAAGAACGGGAAAACACCTGGCCCAGACGAACTACCCATTGAAATGATAAAACTGCTTAAGGAACATAGCTTGGATGCACGTGCTGAGCTCTTCAATGCGATCTACAGATCAGGAACGATACCAAAAGACTGGTTGGTATCGACCTTCATTGTGATTCCTAAGAAAGCCAACGCAAGATTATGTAAAGATCATAGGACCATAAGCCTAATGAGCCATACACTCAAATTATTTTTAAAAATAATTCACAACCGTGTGTATACAAAACTGGATAACGACATCAGCGATACACAGTTCGGGTTCCGCAATGGAGTTGGCACGAGAGAAGTATTATCTATACTAATATATAAAATCCTTAAGTGACTGACATACTGATTAATCACGATCCTGCTCAAACCACTCAACGTAAGAAGCTCAATTTTGGCATACAGGTTGATTCTAGGGTGTAGAGGTTCGATAAGAAGGGATTTTTCGAAATTCCAGTTCTAAGAGGGTGAAACCACCCCTCAAATATAACAATATTTTTTATTTAAAAAACAGTCAAGTTTCCGAAAAAACGCTTAAACACGTATATTTTATTTTGTTTTTTTACATATTTTAAGAATTTTTAAAAATGTATACAAGGTGTTTCGAAAAATCTGGTCATTGATTAATCACGATCCTGCTTAAAGCGCTTGACATAAAAAGCTGATTTTTGGAAAACAGATTGACTTTAGGGTGTAGAGGTTCGATAAGAAGGGATTTTTCGAAACTCGAATTTTAAGGGGGTGAAACTATCCCTCAAATATTAAAATATTTTTTATTTCAAAACCGGTGAGTTTTTCGGAAAAATTCTTAAACACGTATATTTGATTTTGTTGTTTTACATATTTTAAGATTTTTTATAAATTTATACAGGGTGTTACATAAAATATGACCATTGAGTAATCACGATTCTACTTAAACTGCTTTGACGTTTAAAGCTGATTTTTGACGGATTGACTGTGGGGTGTAGAGGTTCGATAAGGAGGGGTTTCTCGAATCTCAAATTCCAAGAGGGTGAAAACGCCCCTCAAATATTACAATATTTGTTATTTAAAAAACGGTTAGTCTTTCGGGAAAACGTTTGAACAAGCATAATTTATTTGGTTTTTTACATATTATGAAGTTTTTTAAAAATCATACAAGGTGTTCTAAAAAGTTGGGTTATTTCTTAACCAAGATTCTGCTTAAACTGCTTGACGGAAAAAGCTTATTTTTGGCAAACAAATTTAAAAAAGTTATATAATAATATCGCCATATTGTTTTTTCTCATGCTGACATAAATGTGAGAAAATTTTATCCAGTTTGTATGTTAATGGAAATTCTTGCTTTGCTTTATCATCACTATTACAAATGATTAATTCGACGCGAATGAAGTCGCTGGTACACGCTAGTTTAGTATAAACGTGTTGACTCAGCGCTGTTTGGATGTTAACAAGGATGTGTACGCCTGCTTTGTGGACTATGAGAAAGCATTTGACAGTCCGTCATGAACAACTTATCAAAATTCTGAGAGAAAAGCAAATAGATACCACAGATGCCAGAATTATTGAAAACCTATATTACGACCAAACAGCAAACATCAAGATAGACAATAAATACACGGAAAACAGCAACATCAAACGTGGTGTACGACACGCTATACTTTCCCCGCTATTGTTTAATATGTACTCGGAAGTCATCATGAGGGAGGCATTACACAATGAAGCAGCTGGAGTAGTAGTAAACGGAGTACCTATAAACAATATACGATACGCAGATGATACTGTGCTGCTAGCAGAAAGTATAAAGGACCTGCAACGAATGGTCTAAAAAGTGTATGAAACAAGTATCCATTATGGCTTGAATATGAACCTTAATAAAACAAAATTCATGATATTTACCAAAAAACCAAATAAAAATACTCAACTGATCATAAACCATCAGATAATAGAACGAGTCTATAAATATAAATATCTAGGAACCCTGATCAACGACAACAATGATTACTCATCAGAATTAAAACCGAGAATTGAAATAGCACGTAACACCTTTATTAAAATGAAGCAATTCTTTTGTTGCAAAACTTTAAGTAACCACCTTAAAATACGAATGCTAACATGCTACATATTTACAATAATGCTCTATGGAATAGAAGCTGCCACTCTAACAAAACAAATGCTTAAAAAGATAGATGCCTTCGAGATGTGGCTTTGCAGAAGGGTACTCCGGATATCATACGTTGACAGAATTACCAATGAAGAAGTCTTACGAAGAGTCTCAAAAGATCTAGAATTGTCCAAAGAGGTGAAAATCAGAAAACTCCAATATATGGGCCACGTAATGAGAGGTACAAGATACAAGCTTTTACAACTAATTATCCAGGGTAAAATAATAGGGAAGAGAAGCATAGGAAGAAGACGGATGTCGTGGCTTCGAAATATCAGAGAATGGTTCAACTGTACATCAAACGACCTGTTCAGGGCAGAAGTCAACAAAATAAAATTAGTCATGATGGTCGCCAACCTTCGCAAGAAGTCGGCACCTTAAGAAGAAGATACCTAGAGCTTTAACAGTTAAAAAGAGTTAATATAATCAGTTGTTTAGTTTTTAAGGATTTTTGAACATCTTCAACACATATTATAGGTATTAAAACTTTATATATCCTGCAAGTGCTGCGACTACACATACCTACTCTTTCTACAATTTTCAATTATCTAATTCTTTATCATTTTTTTTTAATCTAAAGGAATTATTTTTTTTTAGGGTGGCTAACACCTATAACTTTTTTTATTTTTTCAGATAAAGAAACGAGATTGGGTACGTCAGTAAATGACATAAATCAGGATTGATTGATGTATTCAATCCTGTTTCACCGTAAATGACTATAACTTTTTTGATTTTTTAATGACACCCTAGGTATTTTTATTACATTATTCGATAGAAAATGACACTCGCTTTGACATTTTCGCATATGATTTAAATGAAAATTGCAACATGCGGTTCATAACGACAATTTGACTCGAAATACCAAGTTTATTTTTTACCGGCCAGGACAACACACGGAAAACAATAGACGATCAAATCTATTTTTTCAAGACTTCTTTTTCCAGCCATGGCACTCTAAGTTAAAATACGATTTTTTAAGCGAAAATGTCAAAAGTTGACATATGATATACCACTCTATTCAGAGTGTCATTTTCTATAGAATAAAGTAAAAAAATACCGAGGGTGTCATTTAAAAATCAAAAATTGTAGTAATTTCCGGTGAAACAGGAAGTGATCGAAAAGAATAGAATACGATAATCAATCCTAATTTCTGTCATATACTAAAATACCAAATCTCGTTTTTTTTCTGAAAAGAATAAAAAAGTTATAGGGGTGAACCACTCTTGAGAAACACCCGGTATATTATGATCTTGGCACTAGAAGATAATACCTTCACTATAAATAAATAATAATATGAGAGAGAAAATTCAATCGCAGTTTACTATAAAATGCTTCAGTAGACCACAAAAATTACATTCGCAACAAAATCGCAACTCTTAAAAATTCAAACTTGCAGATAGAAGGTTAAATCCCAGTCCCACTTTACAAAACCGCAATTTTCGCAACAAAATCGCAAATCGCAGCTATAGAATATTGGTTGCTTAAATTGAAACTCGCAGATAGAAGAAATCGCAGTTGCAGTTTCCTATGAAAACCAATCGCAAGTTGCGATTGGGATTTTAAAATCGCTGCGATTGAACAGCAGTTTACATTCAGGAGGTGTTAAACTTAGTTGTGCGTTTATTCCGAGATACAGTTCGGGCAAATTTTGTCTTCGTTGATGATAATGCACCACCACACCGGACAATGGAAGTGCAACATTTTTTTGAGGATGATTGTACATTTTTTGGCATTGTACAGTATTGAATCTTTAACTAGTTCTAAGCTCGGGGTTGGCAGATAAAGATCGTGCTCCGCATTCCTAAGTGGATAGTTATGAGATGGCCTTTCGGGAATAGCAGATATATGCTTGCGGATTAAGCAAACGGATTCAAAAATGAATAAAGAAGGAAGAGCAGTATTTTGAAATTTTTAAAGAAATTCTGGCAGTGAGTTCTACTGTTCAGTCCCAATAAATATTGAACTGCTCTCTTTTGAAGTCTGAAAATACGATCAAATTTTGTTGCGCAGCAAGTACCCCAGAATGGAAGAGCATAACGAAGATGTGATTCAAAAAGGGCATAATAGGCTATTCTAGAGGTTGATAAGTTAAGTTCCTTAGAAACTGATCTTAGCGCAAAACAGGCAGCGCTTAGTTTCTTTGATAGAGCTTCGATGTGAAAGTCCCATTTTAACGAATTGTCTACAACAAGTCCTAAGAATTTCAGAGAGTCGACGACGTCATTAGTGGTGTTATTAAGTACAAAAGGTTGTATAGTACTTTTATATGACAAAACTTTAGTTTTTGATAGGTTGAGGCATAGGAGATTAGAATCGCACCAAGATTTAATGGCGCGTTAATGATTTAAGTCACTGGATATAGTATTATATAGTGCCGTAACATCTGGGCCGCTCCAAGTGAAACTAGTATCGTCCGCAAAGAGGCAGATTTTACCGCTAATGTCTAGATTTGCAATGTCGTTAATAAACACCAGAAACAAAATAGGGCCAAGTACTGAACCCTGAGGGACCCCACATTCTATAGGCTTACAAGAAGACATAGACGTACCAATGCTCACAAGCTGCCTTCTGTTGCCAAGATAAAATTGAGAATTGCTGCAATTGAAGAATGGGAACAAATTCCACAGACCTAGCTGATAGGTAGCATGGTCATAAAATTCAGTTTTTCATGTCTAGGTCTTAAACTTTACGAAATTGAATCACTTATTCACCGTGAAATTAAATAAGATTCACCGAAATATTTAATGCAATAAAAACTTACCTATAGCCAAACTTATAATAGATTTTTCAGTTACAGATTTGGAAAACAATTTTTCGATTGTAAGTCTAATAGGATTTATGCAGTTGTTTCCAATAGTAGATGGTTCGACGTTCCAAGGTTTCTGCTCTCTGGTTTGTCCATTGTCTATCTTTTTGCACTGTCCATTGGTATTACAAGATTTGTCCAACATTGTTAATTTAATCAGGATTTAATCCAAAGAGAATAAGTTAGCTGGATTAGGTTAACCCCCGTACTTTAATATTAATAGAGATCTTCCCAGCGTTTTATATAAAATCAGATTGTTAATTCCTTAACAAATAATTTAAAATTGTTATACACTGCTTAACGAAAAACTGAAACTATTTCGGTATTATATATCTAATATATTTTTCGGCATATTATTATCTGTATTTTTTTTAATTTTTGATAATGTGCAAACTATAGTTTCTGGAACCGGAGCTGTTTTTCAGAACCGGAAATTTCGGTACCAAGGAAAAATCCAGGAACCATGATTTCCCGATTTTTTCGGTACTTTCGGTACTAGCATTTTTTTTTCAATGGTGGGACAGTTCGTCAATCAGCAAACAAGGGATGCGTTTCAAAAGTAATATTGATAAAAATTAGACTTTTAACTGGAAATAACATCAAGTAATCAGTTATACGAGAAAAAACATGAACACAAATGATCACAAACAAAGAAAAAAAATTACAAAAACATAAGTAACTAAAAATTTATATCAAACATAAACCAACTTAACTAAATTAGAAAAAAAGCTTTACATTTTCAATTAAAAATGCAAATACCTATAAAAACGTAATGTAAAATATAACTAATACCTTGAGCAGATTTATAGGTACTTAGCAATAAAATAACATATTTAAATTCAATAATTGCTGATTAATATCAAAGGAACTTCAAGGGAACTTCAAAAGTAAGAAAGTATTTGGAGGAGTTTGATTTCGAAGAGGAGTTGAATATTTTTTATTGTTGCCTAGTCCCGAAAGTACCGAAAGAACCGGGAATTAATAATTTCGAGTACCTGGAAAGTAAAGAAAGTACCGGGATTTCACGGTTTTGAACCCTAGTGCAAACTATATGCATTAAATAAATTGCAACTTGTGTTTAGATTGGGAGCAATTTTCCTTTGATTTGGTAATGAAGCAAATTTTTACACATTTTTAACTCTAGGGGAGAAGACCTCGATTTATCCATTGTGCCTGCGACAGAAGCACATACTTTGTGGTTAGAAATCTTTTGAATTGAAACTTAAGAGGAATACAGGATCGTGATAAAGTGATAAACACTGTTCTTGGAGGAATACCGGGTGCGTCTCAAAAGTGGCTCAACCCTATAACTTTTTTATTTTTTCAGATAAAAAAACGGATTTGGTATGTTAGTATATGACATAAATTAGGATTGATTGACCTATTCAATTATTTTTGGTCACTTCCTGTTTCACCGGAAATAACTACAACTTTTGATTTTTAAATGGCACCAAAAAAATCAATTAATTTTTAAATAATCTATAGTTAACCGGCAAAACAAATTACATTATCTTTTCTACTTCTACATTTTTGTCCCTCATCTTTTGTCTGGCGAGTGTATATATCCAAATTGTAATTAAGTAATTAAAAAGGTAATTCGGTATTATAAAGAATATGAGATTGCATATCATTAAGAATGTGTTAAATATTAAGAAAGACATTTTATTACTAAGTCAGATACCTACAATTGAGTTAATATATACTTGTTATATTAAATTAACTATATCACTTAATTTATTAACTGATGTTTTGTCAGAAAGGTAATTATTTTTGAAAAATAAACATATTCAGCGAATTTTATAATACCGTTATGTTTAGCTGATATTTTTGCAATATGCTATTGGTCTATAGCTTTCTGGGTTGTCTGGCTGTTTGTTGGGTTTTTTGATCATGATTATTTTTGATAGTTTCCATGCCTGTGGGAAATACTGGATATTTAAGCATGCGTATGTACATCAGTTGGACTATTGCTTTCTTTGGGATGGTTTTTTTAAGTCTTTTCCAACGAGTCCGTCAGGGCCTGCTGCTTTGAACGGTCTTGAGGTTCTGATTATCCAGTATATTTCCCTTGGGTTTGTATAAGTTTCTGTTGGTGTTGGGTTGTCCAGATTTTCCCATTTAGAATATTGATTGTTGATTTCGTTAATTGTATCGTGGTATTCAGTTTGTCTATTTATTTTTTCTAAGGACTCTTTGAACATATTAGCTTTTCCGTAGTCATCTGTAGGGGTGGATGGGCCATATGGGAAAACGGGAAAAGTCCCGGTGGGCCGGTGGGGAGATAGGCCGGTGAGCCGGTGGGAAGATGGGCCGGTGGGCCGGTCCTAATCAGAGCTCAAAAAAGATTGATTTAGCAAAAATTAAATGGTTAATCTTCTAACTAAAGTTACGTAAGATTCTTAGTGACTGCCTAACTAACTAATCAATTTGCATCAATATAATCGTTAGTTGCTTTTAAACATAAACACCAATTTGTGAAATAACTATTGTTATGTCTTCCTCTGAGACACTTATAATTTTAATAAACATCTGTTGTTTGTTGTTCCATTTGAAATGTTTTATTATACAAGGTGAGTCTATAAGTGCACCTTATTTATGCTGCTTTGTGCAAATATTTTCAGGGCAGGTAGATATGAATAAAAGAAACACATAATATTAAATTCTCTTTACCGTGTTTCAAATAAGTCCAAAATAACCGAGTTATTAAAGTTTGAATTTTTAAACAAAAAACTGATTTATTTTAAAAAAATCTACTACCTAAATATTTCTGTATTTGCATCTCTTTTTGTGCCGTAATATCAAAGATTAAGAAACTATACCGTGGGAAAATTTGCGTTGAACAGGAAGTTCTAAAAATTTTTCTAAAATATAGAGGAAAATTTAAAAGAAAAAACACGATTTTCAACATCTTTTTTTTTACAAAAAAAAAATTCATAGACGTGTTCTTGGGGTCGAACCACCCCTGAAAATATTTGCACTTATTTAAGACTCATTCTGTATAGTTTTACCACTATTCTTTTATTAAAACACATTTATATCCACTGTTTAGGTTATGCCAAGTTTTTTTCGTTTGAGTCATGGCATTATTATACAAAATATCAAATGTAGAAACTAGGAAAAGTCACGCAATGAGAATTATACCAAAATTAAAATACGTATACATGACGAGGCTACTGCTGTACCAGAAAAGAGAGAATTTCTTTCTACAATCGGTAAGAAAGTATATATCTGAAAAGTTAAAAATAATGTTTTTCGCAGAGGATTGGGCCAGCTGAACTAAATGAATCAGGAGTTGAAGTTTCTATCAAGAATGAAGTTTCTCAAAACCGTTATTGAAAACCGTAGCATATTCAAGATCAAATTACCGTTATCGATATAATGGAAATAAAAGAGTAGAATCCTGTGAAACTGAGCTATATAGTAAAAATTCAGATGTCCGATTCGATATTGATCTTTTAAAAATTTTGATCAAGACAATTTCAATATTTTTAAAAAATTGGAGGGAAAAGAGATTTTTTCGCCCCAGCGAAAATCACCCTTACTTGGGGTAATTTGACCCTTACCCAGTGTCCCAGAAATAAGTGCAAGTATTTTAAGAGGAGCAGATTTGGTGAAAAGAAACATTTTTTCTCTTTACCGTTTTTCAAGTAAGTCCAAAATAACCGAGTTATTTTACATTGAAAATTTGAACAAACAAAAAATGCTTTTTTGCTTAAATTTTGAGAACCACTGGATCTTTTCTGTATTTTCTTTCATGTAAATTTAATCCACTACCTATGTTGAGAGATTATCAAGAAATGATGTTTTCTTAACTTAAAACTAAAAAAAAATTCAAAAATTTCTTCAAAAAATTCCAAATTTTCGCAAAAAAAACTGATAGGCGTATTTCTGAAGCCAAAATATACTACCAGTTAAAATACTTGCACTTATTGCTGGGACACCCTCTATATTAATAAATAAAATATGTTTCTTCGTTATGGTCATTTTGTTTTTGTGGATTTGGGCCGGTTGCCTGTTATTCCCGGGCCGGTTTCCACTTCCCCATCCACCCCTGGTCATCTATTATATTGACTGTGTTACCATTGATTTTTGTTTTTATTGGTGGTATTTTATATTGAACACCTAGGTTTTTTACTTTTTTGATGTTTTTCCAAATGTTATTGTCTTTTTCTGCGTTGGTTAGTCTATTGTTCCAGTTTTTGTTATCTTCTTAGTAAATGAGTTGGTTTACTGTTTTGTTGTGTTCTTGTAATTTGTTTAAATTTTGTTGAGTTCTGTTATTTTTGTACATTTTCCTGGCCTGGTTTCTGGTTTTTATGGCTTCGGTAATCTCCTCTGGAAATTTGATTTTCAGTGATTTTTCGATTTTTGGTATGGTTTTTTCTTTGGCCTGTTCTATTATATTTGTCAGTTTTCTCTATGTCCTCCCTGTTATTTATGTTCCTGTCCATTTTCAGTTCTCTGTTAATTATATTATTTCTAAACTCTTTCCAGTCTATCTTTTTGTAATTATTGATCATTCTTGGTGGGTTTACTTTCATTTTGTTATGGATGTGGAATACAACTGGGAAGTGATCGGAAGTCAGTTCTTCGGTTGTCTCGGCTGTCTTTTTTTTTTTTTTTTTTTTTTGGTGAGGGGTGGTTGAAAAATCTTTTATAGACGAATAGTGATCATTTCCACGACCATCTCGGGAGAGATGGTCAGAGGAATAACCCCTAGACAGTGTGGGACTCGTGTTGATACCCACTAAAAAAAGTCCACCTCCGAGGAAACAGCCGCCGAAGAATGGTCAGCTATTATTCCTGCTAATATGTGGGGAAGAAAAAAAAGGGGGGGGGTGTGGGGAAATGGGAGGACTATATTATGAGAAGGGGGAGGACAAAATTAATTGTCTAGAAGAATGGTTTTAAGATGGGAGTATTTGAAGTTTCTATAGTCCTCGGGATTGTAATCGAAGATTTTTAGGGTACTATTGGGGATAGTACCGATTTTCTCGTAGAACTTCAAGGCACGATCCCGAAGGTATTTGGGGATGGGGTCGATGTGTAGGTCAGTACGTATGTCGGAGTTTCGTATATACCAGGGAGCTCTGGTGATATAGCGGAGGATTTTGTTCTCACAGACTTGGAGTCTGTGGATTTGGCTGTCGGAAGCTCTACACCATACTGGGGCTGCATAGAGGAGCTGGGGGCGAATGACTGTTCTGAACAGTAGGACTTTGTTTGA